AGGCAAGGGTTTGGCTAGTGAAATTGACTTAATGGTTTATTTAATGACAGTTAAACCATGATTAAGCAACAGGAATTGATGACTCTAACATAGTCCCAGGTGCCCTTAGAAACGTCTTTCCTTTTGTTTTTACTCGCATTGTGAAGATTTTTCACAGTATATTTTATATAAAATTGGATGGAATAAGTGATAAATGTGTAAATGTAAATCAAGTATGAAGTTTGGCACTTTTAAGGATCTTATCTTAAAAATCATAGTCAAAAACTTGACTAGATGCATTTAAAAACACTAATAATATTGAAAATATTTTTTTTGTGGGAGAGGTGAAAATTATTTAGATGTATGCATTTTTTTTCTTTGAAACCATTTTTTCCATTTCTTTCCTTCCAATATCCATTTGAAATATAAATCAAATAGCAATGTACTTAAGCTATTTTATACCACCTAATTCCGCTTTGTAGTCTTTATCGTGAATCTGGAAACCAAAATTAAGTTTCATACACAGAAATAATTGTGTTTTTTGTGTTTGTTTTGTTTTTGCATTTTTTAAGACATTTTCAGCACTATTTTTTGCCCTTTTTTGGGCCAGTTGCCTCATGACCACTGATTTAGCAACAACAAAATACTAATCTACCCCCTGCTCATGTAGGCAGTCAATTATACAACCACATTGCCTGGAAGTAAACTTCAGGTGGTAGATTACAGAAAATTGCCTAAAGTTTGGTGAAAAAGTACAAAAGGCCAAATGGGATGACATGATCAGTACTCTGAAATGGCTGAGGTTGGAATCCAGTGCTTTGAATCATTCTTATGTTTTTGTTTTAGTATTTCAAGCTTTCTTTTTCCTTATTGTAGAGTTAATGTTGATCTACAGTATCTCCTCAAACCTGTTCCCTTTAGTGCAATGGTTCCCCACCCATGGTTCTCAGGCCACTATTCTGAAACTATTTGATGCATCCCATTTTGAACATGCCTGAATCAAATGAATGGCTGGTTGCCCTGCCTCTGCTGGGCTAAATGAGGGGATTGAGCCTTTAAATTTAGGTAGGTAGGACAGATGATCACTACTTTGCGCTCCCCATTGATCACATAACTCAGCCTCCCAGCTTTATGTCGGTACCATATTTGTTCTTTCTCGTCACCACAACAAATAGCATGAAGCATTCTGATATATATCTGCTTGTTTAGTGACCATGGATGATAACTGCTTTTCAAGGTGCATTGTTGGAAATTTTGAGTCCACTACTTTTTTATCCACTAAATGTTCGGACACTCATCTAAAATGCCGTAATCACTATATAGGGATCAGGGTGGACGTTCGGAAACAGCCATCGATGTCTCTCTTTCAGCACACCAGATTGAAATTGGGGATCCTCCTCTGCAATCAAGTGCTGCAGAACCCTTTTAAGCACCCATTCTTTTCTGGTTTGATGAAAAAAGTAAACAGCTAAAACACGCAGGAGGAACAGGGTCGGGAAACACTGCTTTAGTGGCTTAGTTTAGTGTCTCCCTCTCTACTGTCTTTCATCAGTCAGTTGACTCACCTGTTTCCCACTCGGTAATCCCCCTCTTCATTGTTTAAACTAATTGATTTTATGCGTTTTGTTTTCATCACAGTTTATCTTATCCATTTTTTTGTGCACTTTCAGTTTGTTAGTCGAGTCTTATTTTCTTATTTGGGGTCAGGATTTTGTTTGCATCTATCCTGTCTGTCTTCAGCTTCCACTTTTCAACAGAATATCATAGCTAAATTTAAAAAAAACAAAGTTTTGGCTATTTTTACACATGGTAAACAATGTTAACTGCTAAGCAATTTCAAAAACCTCAAACCAGCACAAATCTTAACAAGCTTTTCTCATTCCTATAATCCACATCTAGGAAATTGCAAAGTATTTACACCTCATAACATTTGTTAATAATTGACCAAAATAGCACAATATCATAAAGTACAATGAAAACAACGCGAATCCAAATCGCAGAAGTTTGGCATTGATTCATATGTATTCCATTTACAGTTTACTTTGCCATTTGCTACCAAGCATAGAAAAAACAGAAAATGTCTGGAGAAAGACAATGTTTTCAGATAAGATCAACATTTCCTTTGCAAGCCTATGAGCAAACTGTGCACATAGACTAGATCGCTCAGTGAAACATGATTGTAGCAGCATCATGCTACATGTATGTTTTCCTTTAGATGGGACAACAGTGCTAAACTATTTTTTAATAAGATGCCTTTTAAAGGCACAGGATTTTACATTGTGAGATAGGGAGTGAAATAAGACATCATGGCTGTGCTCTGCTGTTATCTACTCATAGAGCTTTTATAAAGTATTTTCAAACTTGTAACTGTAATTTGCAAAAATGTTAATGGCCTGTGTATACCTTTTGCAAGCTTTGTAAATGAAACCAAAGGACTACATGTGGTAAGTTGACACAGGTCAAACTGAGACTTTCCTATTTATTTATGTTCCCATGTAATTTTTATGTCAAACTCTATATTTACTATAATCTAAGTATGTCTGGTTAATTTATTCATTCTGAAAGCAGCATAGTGAAAGAGTTCAGGATTCGCTGTTTGGTTTTTACAACAGCTGAACCTACATGTGTGTTACAGCATTTAGGTCAAATGCCATAAAATACAAATATTTCATTAATTATCTTTAAAACGTGGTGTAATTTAATAGTTTGACTGAAATGTTTTTCTAATGCTTTCTCTTCTTTCTGTTTGGATGGGTTTACTTTATTTTTTATGAGTGAATAACAGTGCCGTGTAAACATGTGGGTGTTCTACTCATACCTACGCATGCACACATGCCGGCAAAGATTGTCCATGCATAGGCTGCTTATCCACCCTCACAGTATAGAAAATTACAAAGAGTTTCTTCTTGGTAAGAGGAAAAATGAAGTGGGATGCTGGGAGATCATTAGAGTTCCATCATTTATCACTGAAGACAGATGAGAAAATGCATCACTGCCTACACATGCTCATTCAATTTGAGTGGGGTAAAGAGAAGAAAAAATGTGAAACAGAAAAAAAAAGTCATGTCTGCATAGGAAGGTCAAAGAGATTGGAGGTGGGATGAAAATAGAACTGATTTTATATATATGCACACCAATGGAGATGGCATGAAATAAAAACCTAAGGGAGGCAATTAAGCTTGTATCGATTTATAATAGCTTCTGTTGCAGCTATAACCTATTCTCTTTTATCAATTTTTTTAAAAGCTCAGTTATTCAATTACTGAAGAATTGTTATCTTTTTGGCTACATGTAGAAACTGGTTGGTAGAGCTGAACAACAACCATGAACCAAACAAGACAAAAAAATGTTTTTAGGGTCTGATTTTGGTCCTAATATGCAATCACTTTTAGAAAAATAAAATACAGCATGGAATTGTAAGAGCTCAAATTGGATTCAAATGAGTTATACTGTCACATGCTCTTACTTTGAAGCTTCCTGTCCAGGTGCTCGGGGCTGTGAGTTTGCTCCAATGAGGACACATCTGCCCTCACAGACAACACAGCAAATGAGCACTTGCTGTCACATCACCACACTTCCTGTTGACGTAGAGGACAGCCGACAGGTTTTAATATCCTTGACGCTGCATCTGCTTTCTGGTTGCGCATTTTCCAACAACATTAACCCAAAGTATGCTGCAAGTTTGATTTGCAGGATGTGACCTGATGACTGTTCACAGGTGTCTGGGAAAGGGTTGTTCTCTTGAAGATTGGGTGGGGAGTTGGGTTGCTGCTTCTCTAATTTAAAATATCATTTGTAGAGCTCTATTGGATATTCCAAGCTATAAAGCTTTATAAAAGAGATGAGATTAGGAATCCATTGACTTATCTACTTTCAAAGAGTGAAACCTGAATACCTCAGAGTTCTGCCAACATTCAATCTCACATTAAGAAAGGCTATATCACACTGATTGTGAATGCAGACTAGAAAAAGCCAGATTCTCCAACCTATGAGTCATCTGCAGACCTTTGCAGATGTCTTATCTGTGTTTCTGAATATTTCATGATGGCAAACACCTCTAAAATTAGATATGTGAGATTACGGAATAATGACGCCTGATGAATTATATTTCCTTCAAGGTAATCTCTAATGTGAAGTCACACTGCTATGATCACCATTAATCTCTGCTCAGGAGCAATAGATTCTTGATCCAAAATTTATTTTGAAGATGAGAAATTAATATTTTGTGAAGATTAGAGCTTTCTTTGTTTATTTCTTCTCTCAGCCTAGACATATTTGATAGTCGCCTTTAAGTACATATTTTCCTTCAATGATGTCTTAGGATCACTTGCAATGTGGATCATGCGCAGTCGGTCTCAATGCGTTTGGAGAACCTGCGTTAAGATGACTACACTTCTACAGAAAGGAACGGAAATTGTTAGGGGGGATTTCAAGGTAAAACACACTTGATCAAAAAAATAACACATATCGTGAATAGATTTAAAAAGCTTTCGAATAATTGCCTTTAACTCTTGAGATACAACATATGTAGCTGTTTAAAAAATAGGATTGGTTGTGTTATAAAGAATAAGCTAAACCATGATGACAAAAAATAACGTATTTACAGTTAAACATTATATTGATATATAAATGAATGCAATATAAAAAATGTCAATGAACAGCAAATATTTTCTATAAATATAAAAGTTATATTTTACTTGTTTTCAAAAACATACATTTTCACACTTTTGTACCAATTGTAGTTCATTTCTTTACATAACTAAATGTAAAAGCTCATATCTAAATAAAATATTTTTACATATTGGATAAATGTTACATGATACAGCATGAAATAATAAAATTTAAATGATCTATTTTAGTTTTTTTAAAACAAAATTAAATATTTACATGGTTCTTGGATTATATGCATTTAGGAAAAGTAATAGCTTATTTTAACAAAAACACATAGGTAAGTACAATCATTAGAAATTTATTTTGTAACATTGGACCGGAAATCTGGTTCAGTAGTTGTGAGCGCTAGTAAAACGAAGACCCTTCACCGAAAACTGTGGCAACTGGGGATGGAAGCTGAAGATATGCGATGCACAGAAAAATGGGAAATGGAAATGGAGCCCTTCCACGGGACAAGGAAATAACAGAAGACATCTAAATAATCCGTCATGCTTTGATACTCCAAATGATTGTCATTTTTGGAGATAAATAGTATCTAAAAACGGGTCTTGGGTTGATCTGAGAACTGGGGGGGAGCGGGAGGGGTCGATCATGGGGAACGAAGCGAGCCTGGAAGGAGGCGAAGGGCCGCTATCTGGTCTACCTGAAGGGCTGGCACCTGACGGGAAGGGCGGCTTCGTCCGGGTCTCCGACGGTTCTCCGGTCAACCTGAGCGAGGATGAGAAGAGGCAGCTGGCGGCGGCGATGTCAAGGGCGCAGGGCAGGCAACCTGGAGCTCCAGCAGCTGCACGAAGGCAGGGGTTTTAAACGACATCTTTTTATTCACCTCACATATTAAACAAGCGTTTATGAATGGAAGGTGGGAGTGAATATGCGGTTATTAGAATATATGGGATGAGGAAGTGCGGAGTCCAAATTTAAATCCTACACACAAGAAACCCTAATTTATTCCAGGAGTTCATTATGTTGAATAATCAACGGGATTCTATTAGAATGCGTTTTTACTGTTAAATACCAAAATTGGCTTTAGATATGCAAAATTGAAGGTTTAAACGCGTTTTATTTATTGTTCTGTAAATTAAAACACCACCTCCGATTTGATCGGCAATTCTGTATGAAATCAGAGAGACACACCTCCAGTATGAGAAATGGTCGAAATGCCTGCTGGGTAAGGAATTCGGTCGTGCCCATTGCTCTTTTAAAAATCTTCTTTTCCTTCTACTGTTTTCTACATCATCTTAACCCCAAACCATCACATTATTTAATAGTTAAAATATAAATGGAGAAATGGAGAAATTATATTTGTTTTCATTATGCAGTCATGCAGTTAGAAGATCTCCTTAGGTGTCGGATAAGTGATGCGCCTTCGTGCTAATTGGCTCCAACTGGGGGAAAATTGTTATTTATAACCGAGCTAGAGATGGGGGAGTGGGGGCATCGATATTATTATGACTATAAATAGAACAGAGGCGTTAATGTTCTCTCATATTGTCCTTCCCCCTCCGCGTTTTGCGTATTAAAAGCTGCGCTCGAGCTCCTGCGGTCTTGACGCTGTCCATGGTGCTGAAAACATTCACTGCGGCGTTATTTGCAAATTGGCAACGTTTGTCGTCAGAGCCGACCCAAAATATTATGAAGCCCAAAGCAAGCCCACCACAGCGAACGTGGGCGCTTGTAAATAGCATGTGCATGACTCCTTTCAGATTATTTTTTACTATCATTTTAGATTTTATTAATTCTGTCTTCTGCAAACTCTGTCCTAAAGTGAGGTTTTGAACACCCATAATGCTACATTGATAGGCATCCATGAAAAAAAGGGCTTTTACTTTAGGTAATAGTGGCTGAGACTGCAACTTGATGTCCACTTAATGCACCGTGCCAATCCTTTCAGTTAAACCCTGCATTTAAGGAAATGATTAACATTCCCAAAAATGAGCTCCAATGAGCTCATTAATCTGGTGACATCAAATTATGCATTAGTCAATTGATTTGTACATATAACTACTAACACTGACCAAGATTTTTAGAGGTTTTCAAACAGTGTTTATTTTAATTTATGTTGGTAGCAAGAAAGAAACATTCTTATAAAAGAAACATTTTACCATAAACTATACACTAAATATTAAAAGTATATTGCAATCAGAAACTAATCACAGAAGGAAGATTAAGAGTAGCACTTACTGATTGGCTGCTGACATTTACAGTAAGATAGCACTCATGCCCACACTGAAAATAATTGGATACTATTCATTGCAACATTTAACTTTACTGCCTGAGATTTTTATTTGATTACATCCAGGGACCTTTACTATAACAGAAACAAATGTGTGTGCATGTTCTAGACATGCACCATCATGCTTTAATCAAGGGCAGCCAGTCAGTCCATTAATGCAATGATGCATTTCTCTAAGCATCCAGTTGGCATTTGCTTTATTCTTTGTGCAGATTGTGTGTACATACTGTACCCTCTCATTCTGACTTGACATGCAAGGTATCGCTGGCTGTTTCTTGCTTTGGTCAACATTTTACACTGTCATTCGTCAGTATCCTTTTTTTTGTCAGCTTAAACCTCAAGGCTAGGATCTATAATTTTTTTTGCTTTATGTTTTCAATGATGTGTTGATGTAGCCTTTAAAAAATACTGTTATGGCTGGATCGTTGTATTATAATTAAAACTAGGTAATATTTAGGGCAATGTAGTGTACAAATATATTACTCAAAATGTGAAGGTAAATGAATGCATTAACTTTGCCTATAGCTATATTATACCACTTAAATTGGTGGGTTAAATGCAGAGAAGTAATTTCCCTCTGGGATTATTAGAGTATGTAAAAAAAAAAAAAAAAAAAAAAAATTAAATGCATTCCTGTTGCATCAAATTGTTATTTTTATTATGATGTGAAGGAAAAAATGTACATACCTGAAATGTGCATGTATATTCAGCCTCCATGGATAGTACTGTGTAGGCTCCTATTTTGCTATTAGAGCCACAATTTTTGGATAAATCTCTAACAACTTCTAATCTCTGGAGATTAAAGGTCTTGCTGATTCTTTTTTGTAAAGTAGCACAACCTCAATGTAATTGGCTTGAAAGATTCTGTGAAAATCAAATCTCATGTCTCATCAAAGATTTTCAGTAAGTTTTAGGTCAAAACTATACCACTGTAGCCTGCTGTGTGATTATTGGGTGTGTTCTCCTGGAAGGTGAACATGTGATTTAAGTTATTTGCAGCTTAAATGGACTTTTCAAAAGGAATACCCTGTAGTTAGCTCCCCTCATCATTTCATTGATACTGAATAGTTTCATTGTCTCTGCTGATGAAAAATCAAGCCCTCAGTATGATGGCCATCACCATGTTTTAAGGCACAGACAGTGTGTTAGAAGTGATTTACAATGTTAGTTTCTGGGCCAAAATTTTGTTCTCTCTCAAGGATCTGCTTGCAGCACTTTTTTGGACACGTTTTCTGTGTCTCCTGTGTGTCTTATAGCAAACTGGAAGCACAACTTAGGGTGTGCTTTTACAGATGAAATTCAATATTTTGTAAGACTGTCCTGTCAAATTATCTCTTATAGGTAGTACATCCCTGTAGCTTCTCCAGAGATATCAAAGGCCTTTTTGGTGTTTCCCTGAATAAGTCTCACCTTGCTCAGTCTGTCAGTCTAGGTGGATGTCTACGTCTCTTTTGGTCATAGTTGCACCATCCTCTTTTAAGGTAATGAATTGAAAAGTGCTGATTGAGATTAATACAACTATCAATAATCTTTATTGTCATCATAAGGCGATAGTCATTGTCATATTGTTATCATCCTCCCTCCTCCCTGTAGTGGCTCTCTTAATTGCCAAATCTGAGACCCATATTTGAAGCATTGACCCCAAAGCCAATACCATTTCATACTGTCAATAGCACAGCTGAGGTTTAAGGCTCAGCCAGCCTTACATAGCATGACATCCTTGCATAGACGTTAAGGCCCCCACATACTTATGAGAAGAAATGTCAAAATCACAAGGAGAGCATTGTTTGCCATTTTTGCTTCATCTCCATAGTTATCTGGTTGGTTCTTAGCTAATGAAGCTGACCCCGTTGGTCCAGTCTTTGAAATCCAGCTCTATCAGCCGTGTAAATGTATCAATCTGGCTGACCAGGCTAGGTCGCTGTAGTTGTAATCGCTATTGGTAGATTTTTCATGTGTTATGTTGGTTGTTGTTATTGAACTTGTGGGACAACAGTGGTGTTGGATTTAGGCATTCACCCTACCAGTGGTTTGAACACCAGGTCTGTCCATCTCAGAATGCTGGTGAATATTCTAAGTCATCCAGGTCATAGTCAACCCAAAACTGTAAAAAGAAAAAAAAACCTGAACTTTGTTTTCCAAGTTTGAAGACGTTTTGCTTCCAATCCAAAAAGCTTTTTCAAATCAAAATGTCTGAAATAGCGTTGTGTTCCAAGCTTCATAGAGTAGCCCAACAAAGCCTTGTTTTGGCTTAGAAAACATGCAAATTTAACCGGAGGAACAGGTTCACTTTTTAGAGTTCTGTTTGGGTCCTGCTGTAGATCAATCTGTCTTTTAGTCTGTATCCTGGGCTTTAGTATAGGCCAACCTTTACTCGCTACCCATCATTTCTAAGTTGGAAAAACCACCATTCTCTTTGCAAGTACAATATTGGTACAGAAGTGGATATAGGTTTTGTTTTCCTACAGATCAGCCTTTATTTCTACTGAAAGCGGTTTTGCAAGGTTGAGGAAACCTCCAAATGTAAATATCTGTAAAAATTGGTCTGGTTCTGCAGATCAAAATTACTAAGGTTTAATGGTTTGCTTCTTCAAAATACTAAATACACTAATCATATCTTACCTGGATCTCACTCTGTTTAAATGAAATACAAGATATGTTAGGTGTGGTTATTTTAATCATTGGCCTAATTTTTGAGATGTGACTTAATGTCATCATCCAGCACAAACTGCCATGACTTGAACATTCTTGTTTCCTTTAAAAACGTTTAAAAGTTAGAAAGCGATAAGTTCAATTTTGTGCTGTAGTTACATGCATATGGATCAGAATTACCCATAGACCTGTTTTACTTACAGTTCGTGTTGTATGTTAATTTTGTTGTTTTATGTTTGTCCTGTTTTTTGCTTTTTTTTTAAGACACTTACTGAGACTCTTTTTTTTCCTTTTTCAGACCTTCAGAATCTGATGCTCAGCAACACGTAGGAGCCTTAAGGGGCCCATCAGGTTTAAGTAAAAGTCGAACTGTAGATGCCTTCAACCAGGGTCCTCCTGGCAAACCCAAACCGGGCCGCAGCCCTTCTTCACTGAGCCTCTTTGAATCCAGATTCCGGCAGGAGCCAAAAGGCCAAGAGACAAAATCATCCGGCATGTTTGGCTCCAGCTTCCTCAGTGGGGCAAATCCCCTCAGTGCTATGACGTCCTCCATCTCGTCCATGGGGGACTCTGTCAACATTCCCAAGTTTGGACTGTTTGGGGATGAGGAGGAGGGTGAAGCATCGGCCAAAGCAGAGAACAAGCAGGGAGGGAAGCCAGCAGGGAAGGGCCCCCAGCAGGGCCCAGGACCAAAGGCACCACAGCAGGGTGTACCCCCAAAACAGCCAGGTCAAGTCCCTCCTGGGCAGGGGCCAAAGCCAGGCCAAGGCCCTCCTGGGCAGGGGCCAAAGCCAGGCCAGGGTCCTCCTGGGCAGGGGCCAAAGCTAGGCCAGGGTCCTCCTGGGCAGGGGCCAAAGCCAGGCCAAGGCCCTCCTGGGCAGGGGCCAAAGCCAGGCCAGGGTCCTCCTGGGCAGGGGCCAAAGCCAGGCCAGGGTCCTCCTGGGCAGGGGCCAAAGCCAGGTCAGGGCCTCCCTAGTCAAGGACCTGGACAAGGGACACCTAATCAAGGACCCAAGGCAATTTCTTCAGGGCAAGGACCACCTAATCAGGGTCCAAAATCCAGTCAAGGTCCTCCTGGCCAAGGACCAAGACCTGCAGGTCAGACGCAACAGGTACCCAGACCAGATCATAGTGGACCTGGCCAGACCAGAGGTGGTCCACCACAACAAGGACCTGGAAAGCCTGTGTCAAAACCGCAAGGACAGCAAGGCCCCATGCCAGCCAAGGATACTGGGCCCCCCAGTCAACAGATAGCTGGAAAGCCTGCAAGTGGACTCTGCCTGCTGTGTAAAACGACCCAGCTCAACACTGGATCTAAGGAGCCACCCAATTACAATACCTGCACTGAGTGCAAGAACCAGGTCTGCAGCCTGTGTGGCTTCAGCCCGCCAGACTCAGGGGTAAGACGCTGACTGCCTTCCTTTCATTTGCTGTTGTCTTTTTTTTGTTATGTTTTGTTTTACCTGTTTCTTAAAAATATACTTTTTTAAATTGTTGTTTAAAAAAAAAAGAGCTGAAGTTAGTTTTGTTACACTTATAGTAGTTTTCCTGTGCTTAACTGGCTTCATATAATATCAATACAATAATTCATTCTGAATTACACACTGGAGCTGACAATGCTGTGCTTGCAGAAATGGAATTTACTCTGCTGCTTCCCTGGAAAAACTAGACTATTTAAATCTTCAGTTGTGTACTGTTGTCATTTTGCCAGACAGCAAAAATAGAACTCAAATAAAAGGAACAAAATTCAACCTTTCGATGCAAGCATTATCATAATCATCATAAATTATACTGTATAGTCTAACCGAATTGTAAAGGTAACGGTTAAAAAGTGAAAAAAACAAAAAGAATGTCAGGAGATCAAAATCAGATATATATATATATATATATTTATTTATTTTTTTACTTGTTCTGATCGATGTTTAAACATTGACAAATAAAATTTTCATCACAATGTTTATTATAATTAGGCCATAAAATGTGTGTTTGTATAACATTTTTTTGTAATTTTCTAAAAGAAATAAAGATATACATGCCCTACTTTATGCTGGGCATGCTTTTTATATCTATACTTTGTGTTTTAATTGAAATTTAAAACTTCAGTTTTGTATCCAGTCTCATATATTCTTTTTTTAGGTTGTTGTTATAAAAGGATAAAAAATAAATTGTCGATTTTGAAAGGCCTGACTGGTGCATATCTAATAAATGTTAGATATAAAACATTAGAAATAGATAATTTAAATAACACACTGATTGATGCTTATTTTCATACCACAATAGAATTCAAGGCTAGCCTGTTCCCAACATATTGGGCTTTCCTAACTGTGGCATTGGGCATGTTGCTAATAAGAGCAACATGCATGATCTGAGAAACAGAGAGACCATATGGACTTAGGGAATACTGACCAAGGTGACTCATATCATGGCCACAGGAAGGAAATGTGCCAGCAATTGGTGAATTTCACTCAACAAAACTTAAGAGATGGATCTCTCTCTCTCTCTCTCTCTCTTTTTCTATTGATCTCTCTCTCTCTCTCTATATATATATATATATATGTATATATATATTTTTTTTCTTTTTTCTCTTAGACCTGCTTTTGTTTTTTAAAAATCAAATTAGTTATAAAGTTAAATTTTTAATTTTGTGTGTATCACGTGACTACAATAGGAAGAAAAAGCAAAAACTATCATTGAATGCCTAAAAAAAAATGTTTTTTGTAGCTGTTACGTCCCCTGGCTGAGTCTAGGGGGTGTAAGGGACCAGCATAAATGTAGACAGTGAATGAAGAGGTCAAAAGGGCATTTAAAGGTTTTATTCTGCCTTTTCTTGTGAATAAATTATGGTAAAAGCTTCAGCGAGAGCCAAGGCCAAAATAACAAACAAAACAACCCTAAAGAAAAAAGAAAAGTGGACTTACCTAACTCAATATGAAACCAAAATATACAAACCTACAAAATAACTTACCTAACCACCACATAAACAGGATAAAACTGGGGTTAAACAAATAGGCAGCTCTCCCCTACAAAAACATCCAAACAGGTCTACTTAACAGCCCATCAGCTTCTACAAGGATCACAGAGGTGTATGGCAGACAAATGGCTCAGAGGCCCTGAAGTACTGCTTCACAGGCCTTAAATAGTCTTCAGGTGATCTTGATTGGACAGACTCAGGAAGCAGCAGCCAGTCTTAAAGGTGGAGCCTAAAACAGAGCAAAGTGTTAATTGGATGCAAAAACAAAGACATCCAACTTGGGGATGTAACAGAAGCTCAATGTGATGAAACTCTTATGAGCATTTTTTCTTTTTTATTATGTTTTTTTTTTTCTAAGTTGACCTTAAGTTACGCTGGACATGAAAGTAACGTCCATGGCAGAAAGTAAAGAAAACGAGATATGCAAATAGTTTGTTTCTTTTCCATGGCTGTATAAATGTAGGTGGGTCAAGATTAGACACATCAGAATTAATTACTTTTACCTTGTGTAGATCAACATTGTAGTATTGTTAGAGTTTGTTTATATTAAGGGATGATAAACACAGCAACGCACTAATGGGCAATATAAATATGACTGCTAACAGACATGGAAGAGGTCTTTTCTAAATGACTTTGCATTGTCTTTGTACTGAATTGTGCTATACAAATAAATTTGCCTTGCCTTGCCTTGCCTTTCTAGATAGGGTTTCAATTGTTAACAGCTGGTCTGTTGTAGAAACCAAGGAGATGGTCAAACCCTACAAACAAAAGTCTTTGCCACTCTTTGTTTTTGTGTTTTTTCTTTTTTTTGGAGTGTGTGTTTGTTATGGTTAAATCATAAACAATAAAAAAAAATGGACTTATTAGCTCTAAGTAATTTTCCTTCTTTTTTAAAGAAATTGTAATAATAGTAGTAATAATTTTAAAAATATTATCCAACATGGTTTCAAACACTGCTCCCATAAGTGAATTGCATTTATAAAGCCCCTTTTTAATGTTTCAAAGTCGTTCACACAGTTAAGACAAAAAAATTTAAAGGGTAGATAAAATGGATGAAAAGCTTTAATATTCAATAAATCAATAAAAAAGGTAATAGTTATAAAACCCAAACCTCAATGTGGGAATTTAGAGGTTTTCAGCTTATTTCCAAACCCTGTAGGAGTTTAAGCAGGGTATGAAGAAGGGCATTCCTACTATGTAACCTAGTGCAAAAGTGTAGCAGGTCAGATGTTGTATAAAGGTTTGCCTAAGCACGGCTATAAAAGCTTATACAAACAGCTCAAAATAGATTCAAAGTTCGCTAGTAGCTATTAAAGAGAGATTAAAACTAATTATCTGGACTGTTTTGGAAGCAGTTTGTGGAGTAAAAAGACTTGAAAAGTTTTTTCCAAAATAGCCAAGCCCCCCTTGTTATGAAATTGTTAGAAAGTTTGTTAAAATTGTCTAGGGGATAGATATGAAAGCATGAGTAATTTTCAAATCACCCTTCAATATAAGAGGATTTCATCCTTTAAAATCCTTTAGTTGTTTAGAATTTCACTCCATGGAAATTGCTGAGTCAGAAATTGCAGTAAAGTTTTGTATATAATGCCGGACAGACGAGCCAATATAATGATGCTAACTTTTGAATTAGTCCTCACTCTACCTTAATGTGATTTATGAATTTAATTAATTTGCTGGTTGATATTGAGGCCTTGACTCTCTCTAAACCATCTCACTGTAATGGTCTTTGGATTTCGTATCTTTTAGGATTTGGTAATTAACCAATTTTTATCAGTCAATCAAATTGTTGTTTATGACTAATACATTTTTTTGGAAAAAACTCAACCTTTTTTAGCTGATCTTGGGCTTCCATAACTTAGAGTGAAATCAGTTCAGAACATTTTCTTCTTAGATTTCAACTTAGACGTCACTGATAAACTAGCTGACTATGCCATATCACTTGTTGCAAACTGTTATATTTTCATTGTTTGTTTTGAAACATGTTATTTTTTTACAGCATTTTTCGCAGCTTGAATTGTGTTTCCCTTAAATATTAAGGACAGAGGGAATTATTATACTATTTGTCACTTTTATTATAAAACCTAAGTGAGGAAAAAAATAGATTCATTCAATTTGTTAGTAATAAATATTAAATAAATAAAAATCTTCTGTAAAATATGCAAAGTTTGTGATATTTTCTAATGCAATCCTGCTTTATAAGTCTTCATAGGCCTCGCTCTGACATATCTGCCTTGTTCCTTGGTTATCATAAGGCTGCTTGTTCACTACTCTTTTCTAATAAACCTAAGAAGATTCAACAGAATAGCTGAATTTAAAATGGGTTTGAATTACAAACAAATGACTCTGTCCAACAGTTGTTTATGATGGATATTTGTTGCTTTGGGTGTTAAATGGTGGGTATCGTGTATCACATCACATTTTCAGATTTGTATGCATAGAATAATAAATAAATAAAAAATACATATTCCACTTTAGAATTATGCACCAATTAGCTTTATTGGATTTACCTACATCCGTACATCCATCCATTTTTTGTCACACTTATCCCTGCTGGGGTTGCGAGGTTGCCTATCTCCAGCTGTCAATGGGCGAGAGGCGGGATACACCCTGGACAGGTTGCCAGTCCATCGCAGTTGATCACCTACAATCCAGATCAAAATCAGTGATGTGGTTTTAGTTAATATTTTTTTTCATTCGTTTCAAACAATTAAAGTTGCTACAATAGCCATTTTGATTGTAGTAAAACACCATGAACCAACACCAGCTTATCTGAAAAGCTGACTTTGGATCACCGCACAACAATCAATTTGTTTTTAATTATTTGCCTTTATTCTTCCTTTATCTGATTTAGGACTGCTTTGACACAAGGAATACAGCAAACTATTTGCAGGCTGCATGTTTGTTTTCTCTGTGTGTAGCTTATCTTGTGCTGACTCGAGCTTCTGTCTGGATCTTGCCTTATAATTATATATTAAAGACTGCAGTTATCCATGTAACTGGGGCACCTTTTCTTGTCACGCTTTTTCCTTCCTGTCAACTTTGTATAAGTATACTCAGAGTCAGCTCTGTGTGAGCAAACAGCTAGTAATCTTAGTATTTTTTATTTTTTTTTGTCTGCTTACCTATGCAGAGAGACCACTTAGAGGCCGAGGGATTCTTTGCAGATGTTTTGAGTTAATGGGCTGTTTAAGTTGTGACACCATTAGTTTCTAATATTTAACTTTTTACCCAATATACTAAATGTTTCTTGGACATTTTGGCTATTAATCATCTGTAAGCCAAAATACAAGAATTAAGTAATGTGTTTTATTTTCTGAAATGAGTAAAAAAATTATGGCCATCCCAGGTTTTTATTCTTGACTCTCTGCCAATTCCTGATTGTCTTGAATTTTCTGCCCTTCTTTCTGTAAACATACTAATAACTTTAGGAAGCTGATGTCATACATGTGGTTTTGTTTTATAATTAACCCAATTTTAATTTTTTTTTTCTTTTTTTTACAGGGCAAAGAGTGGCTTTGTCTGAATTGTCAAATGCAGCGAGCAATGGTAGGAATGGATCCCCCTGGCATGTCGAAGCCTATGCAAGGCTCTGGCCCCCCCTCGCCTCAGAGACAGGCACCTGGCAAGCCTGGGAAGCTGCTGATAAAGCAGCAGAGCACCTCTGACCAAGGGTTAACACCACCAACAACACCAAGGCAGAAATCCCCAGGTCCTTCATCTCCAGGACCCCTTTCTCCAGGCTCTTCATTATCAGGATCACCCAAAATTGACCCCAAGACAGGACGCCCCATTCAGCAGAAGTCCAGTCCTCAGCAGTCTCCTGCTAAAGCTAAACAGGAATCAAGCTTCTTTGGGGGTCTGGGAGGTATCAGTTTAGGAGGGTTCACAGATTCAGCTAAACCCCCTGCATCTGCTGCACAAGCTGCAGAGTCTGTTACAGGGAAACTGTTCAGTGGGTTTGGCGGATTGATGGAGTCATCGAAGCCTCCTACAAAGGCTGCACCAAAACAAGATGAATCTGTGGCTGGAAAGCTGTTCGGGGGGTTAGGGGGCCTGACGGAGTCGACTAAACCTCCTGCTACTGCATCTCAAATGTTCAGTTTTGGCTCATCGCTTCTAAGCTCAGCAAGCACTCTTGTCTCTGGAGAGGAAACCAAAGCACCAGAGTCTCCACCTGGGTCACCAGATTCGGGACCAGGTTCTCCTCCAGATTCTGATCCTGGTTCACCTCCGGACTCTCCCTTCTCTGCCCCTGGTTCTCCTCCAGATTCTGGCTCTGCCCCTGACACCCCTCCTGCCAGGTCCAAAAAGCCATCCAGACACACCTCTGTGGAGCAGGAAGAGAAACCTTCTGCAGCTGAATCTGCTCAGGCTCAAACCTCAGTTGCCAAGGAAAGCTGCCCTCTCTGTAAGCTGGAGCTGAATGTTGGATCATCTGACGCCCCCAACTACAGTCTGTGCACTGAGTGCAAGAAGAAAGTGTGCAATCTATGCGGGTTCAATCCTAATCCTCATTTAGGAGAGGTAGGAATGCTATTTATTACTCATTTATTTTCATCCCTAACCACACCATTTGCTCTATGAACATGCTACATACTTCTTAATTTTTTCAAATGTTGCGTAAATCAGTCCCTCATGTTTCAATAAAATTAGCCAATGGGGAGATAATAAGGACTTTTCAAGCTTAATTTTCTTCATGAATATCTTGCAAAACTTTATCCTGATAGTCTATGATTACCTGAGTAAGTACATTCATTTACTTCATAAAATTGACATTAGAATGCTTCTGTAAAGCTGTATCTTCAATACAATGTATCTCCATTTTGCCTCCATACATTATCAGCTAAATGTCTTTTAATGACTTAATATAAAAAGTAGACTGATTGTACAACTAACAGCTTCTATATTTTCAAAATAAGAGCTGAATTAACTGTATTTCTTAGTCAAATTACTTCAGATTAGCTCATAGAGGTATTTATATATCCAAAAATCCCTAACAATATTCAAGATTGTTTTCTTTGTTTCAGAAAAGCTATATGCTTTTTATATAAATTACCAAAAGCTGAATACTTTCTGACTTTTGCATTCAGCAAACTGATTGAATTTATTTCTAGGTCATTGTACTGTGTGAAGCAGCACGTTTCAAGCACAAATGTGTTGATATGAAGTGAAGCTAAAGAATATTGACGTTTTCCTTTTTACTGTGCAGCTATATCACTGTCAGTGAAGCAGTATTCAGGTGGTGTAATTGGTACAATGTTCTTAAGCTTAAAAGCCTTACCTTGGCTTCTTCAAATATTTTTTTCTTGCCATTCTTGTCAAATCTTTTTTTCTTTTTTTTTCACCTCTGGAAAAATAAACTTTCTCCAGAGAACACTGGCTTGTTCATTTCCAATTTTGGAGTAAGAGCTTATTTCTTATGCAGAATCATCTTACAATGTTGTGATGTAAATATATGGAGCACCAGAATGAAATACAGTCATTAAAGTCCAATATTTAAATCATACATTAAGAAATTCATTTTAAAAATTGTTTTGAAAATATGATTTTTAAATGAAATTATAAAGACATATTGTAAATTCCATTTTTTTCTTTTTATCCAAATTAAACCAGTGTCCCACGGCATACCAGCCTGCCAGGTGCCAAGTGTAGTGACTGATAGTTCTGGCATCAGTGAACAAAAATATAAGTTATAATTGCAGAGTTAAAATATACCTAAGGATGCAGACTACTAGAATAGACAAATGCTTCTAATTAAATGACAAAAAACGTGGTCATTTTATTGAAAAAGTAAGTTTGGATAACAGCTGAATGACTGCTCAAGACTCCTTCATTAAGTCTGAAGCATTTGTAAAGTTCGTTCATACCTGAAAAAAGATTAGAAATGGGAGAAAAACAGTGGATGCTGCATTTTCTCCTAAAATATTCGTAAGAACCAATCTTCTGTTCTTTTACCAAGCCTTGTCATCTCCCACATGGATTACTGCAAACACTTCTTTTTGGTTTTTCCAGAAATCCCTCCTTTTCCTTCCATTTAGTCCTGAATTCAGCGGTGTAATCATTTCAACACATCACCCAAGACTTACAGAAGCTTTACTGATTGCCTGTCAACTTCAGAATTCAGTTCAAAATCCTCCTGTTCACATTCAAAGTCATCCATAATCTTCTCCCCTCATCACCAAAGGGAGCAGAATTTTCTCCTGCTCTGCTTCCAGACTCTGGAATTTTATAATACTGATACTTTACCTCTGTTTAAATCAAGGTTAGAAATGTATCTATTCAAGACTGTGTATCTTCACTGATTGCCCTGCCTGTGCCTTTAAATGAAATATATTATCATAACCAACAACTCAATAATGGTTCCTAAAACGTTGATACTATGCATACCAGTAAAGTTGTGAAGAATTGCCGAAAAATTAATGAGAAAAATTAAAACTAATTGAATCCTCACCTCTCTCAAAGAGCAACCATGTTCACATAAGCAAAATAGCTGCTTCTTTTTTCAATCCTGACAGAATTAATGAAACAAACATCAAAACAAAGAAAGAGAGAGAAAAAAGACTTCAATTTATAAACATTTATGGTTTGTAAAAGACAGCACATATACTTAAGCATAATTGGGCATCAGAAGGCCCACTGGTGACAATGGTTTTAAAATACTAACACTGGTAAGAAAAATACCTCAAGAATAATATACTACACCTAATTATAGATGGCAAAAATAATTTGGAAATACGAAAAATAGTAAAATGAAATCTAACAGAATGCGTGACAACTGAGCTTTAATGGATTTGCATATAGCACAACAATATAATTCGTCTTTATAAATGGCAGGATCACTATTACTTGTATTAATCCTAATCTGCATTATACTTTTACTTTAGTACTTTTATAGATTTGACTGGATCCAGAATTGCTCCGATTTTTGTTTTGTTTAAATCCCTGTGGAACTTTGAAGATAACCTAGTTGTTCATCTCCTAATATACATTTATTAGAGTTAAGTAAAGTTATCCCATTTTAAAGCTTGGCTTTGATTTCAGTCCAGATTTACTGAATAACAAATAAAAATCTTTAATTAGTATTTTCTGAATGAGTTAGGCATTACAATTTCACCCAACAGTTAGCCGGGAATCAGGCTCCTTTCCCAGGAGAGGAAGAGAAGACCGCCTGATTGGCTGACAGCTGCCAACCTGAGCTTGGGCTAAAAAAAAAAAAGACCTCTTTTTTTATATTAAGTGAGATCCTAATAAACCAAGTAGTCGAGTTTAACAAACATGTTTAACAAACCATTTAAAAACTGGATTAATAATTACAATATACAGTTCCTCTTTAATAATAAAATCTAAAATGACCAATTACAAAACACTAACAGAAATGCCTAATGTATCAAAATTGCTGCAAATTTTACCTATACAACATTTATGTGTTTTGTTGTTTTTTTTTTTACTTAATTTGTCAAAAAATCCAATGACAATTCTATTTTTTATTTATTTTATTTTTTTTCTGTAAATTATTTCATGGTCCAGGCTTTAAAGGGTAAAAAAATGATTTCTAATAGTATGGTTAAATGTAACTTTTGAAACTTTATTTCTTTGTAATTGGCTCTCCTGGTCCTCCATATGAACTGGCTTCACTGTAGACAAAGACGCCAACGTTTCAGCTACAAATATATGTATTTTCAGGCTGCCTGTTGGGATTTTGAAATGCAGAAATATTCCAACTTGTGCATCACATCCATTTGAAGCTTTTGTATCATTATTTTACAGTGGGGAAAAAAAAAATTTAGAAATTAGTACAATGATTCTTCCATAAAAGTCTGTAAATATTGCAAAATTAAATTCAATGCTTTTAAAGATGATTATTTCCTTTATGTATAAAAATAGGCATAAACTTTTTTTTTGGAAATCTAGTCCTTTTGGTTTCCTGTTTCCTTTGTTGTCAGGGTTGGTTAGGTGATTTGTCCTACCTAGCTGTGTGTGTGGGTGTGTGTGTGTGTGTGTGTGTGTGTGTGTTTTGAGTTTCTGTCTGGTGGAAGCACAAACACAACAGATTGTGATATATGGTTAAAGATTTGTTAAATTTATTATGGAAATGTGCCCAGAATGCATGCAAGACGTATTCATACATGCTGCACCCACTTTCTGTTTATTCCATGCAATATATGTGCTGATCCATGCTCAATATTGATGCACAGCATGATTCCAGATTTAATTTAACCCATCTTTATGAGAAAACTAATAATGGACAATGATCTGCTGATGTCTGTATTTCGTAACTAGGTGCAAGATTTTCCTGATTTGGTCGTTTTATTACTTAGGTAATCTGTTGCATTTCTTAAAGCTATCTTCAATAACTGGAAGTAGTGTTAAGCTGGAGATAAAACCCTTACAACTCCCATACATCACTTTTTTCTTTTTTACTATTTAAAAACTGTGTTGTTTTTCAAGTCTTTGTAAGAAGATCTGGTACTTAGAATTTGTTTGGCCCCTATAATAATTTGGCCTTTATTATAGGGGCCTTAATATATTCATTATATACTGCAGTTAAATCGTATCATGCTGGAGATTTAAAAACAAAATCAAAAGTAATCAATTTATTTTCTCTTTTGGGGGTAAAAAAAAATTAAAAACATTGTTAAGAATCATTTGCAACAAGATAACTAACTAATTACGGGTACCCAAAAATAATTAATAAAAAATTATTTTAAGAGCATTTTAAGTTCTTAATATAGTTTCTTTAGTATATGAAAATGTTAATCCTCGACTGTTTAGCTCGAGTAGTATAGGGAATCAAGGTATGTAAAGGTAAAGGTTTTCAGCCTATCGGCAGTGTTTTCCTATCATACAGGACTGTAAGAATCATGAGGAAAAATATCTCCACTGCTCACTGTTATACAACTGAAGCAAAGAGAAACACCTGGTGTAATGTCTACAAATAAGGCCGTTAGATGCTCTATAAAGGCCAATGAGTTGCTTCTTAAGGGGGTAAAAGTGTTTTTCTGTCCTAGACTTACAAGGATAATCTCAAGGACATGAAAAGTTCATTAAACTTCAGTATCTGTGACTATGGAGACCAAATAAAGATAATCTATATTTGTATTAACATTGATCATGCATTTTTCTCACTAATATTATGCAGAATATTTTTTTATTTAGGCTTTTTACACAGTAGCCTATTCTTTGGATTGAAGGAATTTAAATTTGGGCCCTTTGTTCATAATGTGTTGAGTTTGTATTGGCATTAATATACCAGAGGGGGGAAAAAAAAGTTTTTTAAGGGGTTTTCAAATTGCGAATGCTTACCAGGGTGATAAGCAGATAAACCCCCTACTGTAATTGAAGAGATGCGCAGGAAAAAAATGTAGTTGTGAAAATAGCAGGCATCCCAACTATCACTCTAATTGGAAATAAATTAGGCTTTTTATTACCATCATCTTGTTTTACAAGCCAGTAGCTTACATTTGTAAGTAAAACAAATAAATTCCCTTTTCTATTTCCATAATTAAATCCATTAAATATTTAAA